GCTAAACAATCACCTAGCCGGGGTCGTTTGACCCCAGTACTCTTTCCTGCCATGGCAGGGGGTCGGACTTGATCTGCTCAGGTCCCTTTCAACCCTACAACTATGAAACCCCCAAGCTGATGCTCTGCAGCTTGGCTGCTCAGCTCCTGTAAGGCTTAGCTCACATGACACTGTCACTGACTGCATAGGTGCCCAGTGCAAAGCCCACAACCCATATGTGCCCCCAACCATAGAAGAGGCCAGCAACTCGAGCAACCAGCTCTGTAGTGCTGTTGGGAGCAGCTCATCTGAAACCACCATCCACAACTGGCAAGGGACTCCTAAAAGATAAGCTTTGGGGCCAGAACAACTTGAAACAGAATGCCCAGATTGAGTGAACAGGAATGCACCACCTCTGCATAACAGGTGGACACAGGTTCTTATTTAGATTTTAGTGGAGATTGCCCGCTAATCCACCCTCCTCCTGCAGCTACAGGACAGAGAATCATATGTTGCCTTGCTGGTGGGAGCCAAGTATGGAATCAGCCAGATTATTAATAATAAGCTCAACATCATAACAACCCTGGCAGAGTTTGCTAACATCAGCAGGCTAGAGCTTACTGAAGAATCGGAGAAAGTGAGCATGGTAAAAATCTACCTGCAGGATGTGAAGGTACTGCTGCTACTTGAATTGTGTGTGCGCATGTGTATGTGTGCATTTATGTTTGTTTCTGTGTGGGTGGTACAGTGATTTTTCTTCTTTTTTTTAATTTACCAGTGTAATTTAATGTGTTATTAATTTTTGAAACATAGAAGTGCTTGTTCTGCTGCTGCCATAATAAGTGTACTGTTGGGATTTTTTTCCTAGTTGCTTTGCTGTGAGTTGCATGCTATCCTGACATGTGAACTAAGACCCCCCTCATCTCACTAGTCTCTGTAACATGCTGTGTTTGTCATAATTTGACTGTCACCTGAAAATTGTTCTAAGTTAAAGTGTTATGTAGTAGACTTTTAGGAGCTGTCACTAGATAGAGAAGAAACCATTATAATTATATAACACAAATGAAAAAAAAAACAGATTCCTCTAAAAATATTCTGCTGTCCTCCACCAATAGGATGCCAGGCATAAAAGAAAAATCTATTGCTCTTTTTTCTCCCAGGAACAGGATGGGGAATTAAGGTCTTTTTATGTTAGGGCATGTTTATACAGATCACATTGTGAACAAGGCTTAACTATTTTAACTTGTTTATTTTTTAAAAAGCTGCTGACTCTGTTGCTCGAGTCTAACAGTGCAAAAGATCTTGCCTGTCTCATTGCTGGCTACTACAGGCTGTTTGTGGATTCGGGTGTCTCCATATTCAGGTGGGGAGAGGATAAGCAACACCGCATCTCTGCTGAAGAAGGTAAGAGCTGCTACAAAGAAGTGACTCAGATAATAACATGCAGCAGCTTCAGTCAAAAACATAATTAAGGTGCATGGCGCCCTGCTGCACAGTGAGAGCTATGGGACTCGCAGCCTAAAACTCTTCAAAACTACAACCTAACAACCAGGACTATTCTCAGTCCCCTCAGGCTACAGTTGTAGCTTTGAAGTGCTTTAAAATAGGAGAGGGAGCTGCTTCTGGGGAGCATATATCATCCCTTATATCTGTATGCTCCAATAGTGATACAGGTGAGAGAGATTTATTTCACTTAACCCCAAATGAAATAGAGGTCAGGTTGCTAAATATTTTGGTATACTTGTACTGCCCCCAGAGCACGCAGACAATACAGTTGCATCCTAATTGCTTATACCAAAGCTGTTAGATCCTGTGACAACTGAAATATCTGTCTGCACCCTTAGACTGTACATGCTTTAGGGCAGGAGAGATCTTCTTATGTTTGCACCATATCCAGTAGAGCAGGTTCTGGTCCATGAGAGGCTGGTAGGCACTACCATGTTACTATGAAAGATTTTTCTAATAATAGTAAGCTACCCATGTGGGCAATTCCTAAACTGCAGATTCAGAGAGACCTGCCATGTAATTGTACCTACATCACCCTAGAAAGCAAGGGCAGGGGGGCAGGGGAGCTGCCAGCTGCTTTACCTGGCCTGAGCTGGAGTGGAGTGGGGGGCTAAGCAGAATGGACCCCCCTCCCCTTGCCTCAAGGGCTCCTCCCAGGCACCCTGCCTGGGGTATTGGGAGGAGCTGGGCCTGGAGTGCAAACTGTTTAAGAACATTAAAAACTGCCATGTACTGATAGATTCAATGACATCCTCATTTTAATACACAGCAAGCAAGAAGTGTTTTCCTATGTTCAAGGTAAAGAATGGAAGCAGAAAGAAGCAAAGTGCCTGGCCTAAGGCCACACAGGAAGTCTGTGCCTACCAAGTCCTCCACGTGCCATAGCTTCATGCAGAGTTGGGCTTCCTCAGTGCAAATTCCAATGTTTCTCAAGCCAGCTAGAGGTGTGCACTGATGCTGTGATGTCAGCTGGGAAAATCAGAGCCAATCCCCAGAGAAGGGGATTGATCTAGTTGGGGATGGTCCTGCTTTGAGCAGGGGGTTGGACTAGGGTCCCTTCCAACCCTCATTTTCTATGATCCTATACCTCTACGAAAAGATGAGGCCCACATTCTGAATGCTCCCTGGCTGAGAGGGAATCTTTGAAACAAATTTGTTTTCCCTTGTCGATTCATTCACAAAACAAATTAGGAACTGAACAGAGCTACTTTTTAAACAAGGTGCATTTTCTATAACACCCAGATTTTTTAGGTAACTAACCCAGATGATGGATCTCTACTGGGGAAAAGAACATTTTCTTCTTGGAGGCTTTAAGAGGAAAGCTAGAGTGAAGAGGAGGGACAAGGCATTCCATAGGGGTGCATTGCATAGGTTAAAGCTGGAGGTTAAGGCTGCAATGACCTGCGACAATAAGAGGGGAGGGCAAAAGTAGCTGGGATTTCTGGAAATATTGATGTTTGCATCCCAGCGGTGTAGGATAAATGAGGGTATAGCATCTAGAAACCTTAAAGAAATGGTTTTAGCAGGTGATAATAGAAAGGGACAAAAAGAAGCAGGTAGGGAAGGAGATTTCCATAAGTTTTATTTTGAGGGTATTTAAAAGTGTGACCTGCATCTCATAATCAGGTAGCTGGATACTTGGGGAGAGGATGGGGAGAGCATAATTTATTTGGTAGCTTATGTGCACAAAAATGCTGTTTAGGGTTGACCAAAACAGTTGCCTAATTTGGGTCAAATTTAGTGAGCCACTTCAGGTGAAAAAGATTGAGAAAAAAATGTAAAGAAAGTCAAAACATCTGGTTTTGACATTTTAAAATGAAGCTCTTCAGGGACCCATTTTGAAGTAATATTCTGTTTAAATATCTAGTTAAATTCGTTTTAAAAATGTGAAGGGCACCTGAGAACTAAACAAACATTTAAGTTGATTAAACCAAGAGCTTACTTTTGACCTCCAGAATTCTTCTTCCTTATTTCTGGTTTCACTGCTGAACCAACAAAGCTGCATTACCCATACAGCTTTGCTAAGAATGAGGTTTTGCGGCAAATATGTTTGTTCCAGTCCCAGTGAACCTGCATTCACAGATATTCTCTCTCCCTCCTCGCTTCCTCCTCACCCCCAGCGACTTCAGATAGTCCTGAATGAGTTACCTCAGGTACCAGAAGCAGTAGAGCCACATTAGTGCAGTGCTGCACCCGGACTGATACACCCAACACCACTAATTAGCCTGGATGCAATTCAGTGCCAATGCAACTGTACTGCTTCTAGTATCCAACATGACCTTTTCAGGGCCAGCTCAGGCTTCTCTGCACAACACTGCTTGGTGTCAGGCATATACACCTTTAGTTTTTCACATGTGGTAGGGAAGGGAAGGCTGGGCAACAGTGCAGGTGATTTGCTTGGGAAGTATTATAAAAAGGAGAAAAATCTTCTCGTGCTCTAGTGGTGTGGTGGGAGAGGGGGCAGGGGTGAGTGAGCTGGGGAGGGATAGTGGGGGTGGGGCTTCTGCAGAGGTGGGAGCACTGAGTGTGGGGTGCTGGGGAAATCTGCCTCTGGTAAACCAGCACCCAGCACATTGAGGCCTTAGGTGCTTCTAGCATGTAAGTGATCATTAACAGCCACTGTTGTAATGTGATTATTGCTTTGACCTGATGTAACTGAGCAAATACTATGCAATAGTTTAACAGATGCATATTGTCCAGCACAGGTTAATGCTGTGCTAATCAGCACATCTATCCTGCATGAATATAGAAATTTGGTTTTAAGAGTAGCCCTAGACACATCCGTGGATCCTTTTCCTTTCCTCGTTAACCCTATAGTGTCAGTCATCAGTGTTAGGCAAATGAGAGGCATAATCAGTCTCTCTCTCTCTCCCCTACACACACCCACGTTTCAATAGAGCGCACTGGTGATAAACCTCCAACAGTGATCCAGGCTTCTGGCAGCTGGAAGGGATGTGGATGTAATTTGCAGATGGTGGTCCTGTGTGACATAGATTCTGTGTTTTAAATTGCAGGGTATGTGTCTAGGGCCTGCAGTGACTCTGAAGACTCCTGGGAATTGGATTCCTCTGCAGAGCATTGCCCAGACACTCACCTGCTGAAATTCAGCATCACTGACCCCCCAGGGGAAGAGGAGGAGGAACAGGGAAAGTTCTGTGAGCTGGAAGAGGACAGCACAAAGCCCAGGCCCGAAGGGAAAGGCCTGTGCAATGGGAGTGACAACCTAACGGACAGTGCATCAGAGGCTTCAGACTCGGCCAATACCGAGAGCAGAGGATGCAAGACAAGTGGCTCAAGTGACTCCATGGATGCGCTGGAAGAGGATGATTTGGATGCCTGCTCTGCCAGTAGACCAGAGTTCTTCCACTTCTACACACCCACTGTGCAGGAACTCAGCAACCAAGACAAGAACTTCACCCTCACTGGTGAGGAGGGAACTAGCCAGGCAGAGGCAGAGGACTTCCTTTGCTTCCTGCAGATACCCCAGGCCCCCAACCCTGCATCTAAGCAGCAAGGGGAGAACAAAACAAGAGCTTCTGCCCTGGAGTGCAAACTGTTGGAGAGCAGCGTCATGGAGTATTACAGCCTCTGTACCAACATCTCCCCCACTGGCAATGGAGAGAGGAACTTCCTGAACCACAATCCTGGAGGTGGCTCTGTGAAAGATCTGCTGGCTGAGGCAGGTGGAAAAGAGGGACCCTGCAGAGCAGAGCACACAGCAGAGGTGAACGATCTCATCCTGGACCCTCCTCCAGGCTTTGGGGACACCAGTTCAGAGGACGAGTTCTATGACGCTGCGGACAGGTTCACCCCAACAGAAGCTGTAGCAGGTATGCCCGCAGATCAGCTTCCCAAGGGAAGGGTCCTTCTCTTATTCTGAGGACTGAGTGCAAGGCAGGGGTTGACTGTTACTGTGGTCTCTAGTCACTGCTACAATACAGTAATAAGTACTGTAATAGCCCCTCCACAGCACACTGAGCCAAGGGAGCAGTCCCGGACTGGCAAGCTGACTTCCCAGCCCCTTAGCAGTCATAGTTGCTCTACCCTGGCTCAGCGTGCTGTGCATGAATAAACTCCAGAGCTTATTGATCCCAAGTACATGTTCAAACGGTGTACCTGGGAGCAAGAAACTGCAGAGCAATAAGCTCCACAATTTATTCATGCACCATAATTGCACGTTTAGACACACCCAGTTACTTCAGCAAGCCCTCCTGCAATCACAAGAATACCAATACCAACATACCACCGTATACACCTGTATATGTCATTTGCATGCTATTTGAGCGCAACTATGTTATGTCTCCGTCATACAAATAAGGTCCACGCATGGTACATTTTGCCAAGCATGCTTGGCTTCCTGCAAATGCTGTGCAAAGTATGGATGGTCCAGAGACAGATGGGTGTGAAGCATGCAGGACTGCTGGGGGAAACTCATGCGAGGTGTGAAAAGGCCCAGTTAGAAAGAAAACAAAGGAGGGAAGCCCCATGGGGGTCAAGAATCCATGCATGGGCAGAGAGAGTGAATGCACAGCATGTGGTGGAAGAGGATGGGGACCCGTTCCCCCTGGTTTGCCTAACTGAGTGATTCCTGAAAACTCTTAAAACCTAAGGAAATGCCCAGGCAAAGATGAAAGCCACTGTCACATAATTCAGCTCCCAAACAGGGCAAGCAAGAAAACAGTTGCTTCTTTCTCCCTTCTTTCACTAAAAAGCATCTGGAAATCACAAATTAACACTACATTTAACATGGCCTTCCTCCAATCCAAATATTAGAAAGTGTGAAAGCACACAGATAAAGTTACAAACAGCCTTCTCTCTACCCCTGGGTTCAGCAACATTTTTGGGAAATACCAAAAACACCTGCAACCTCAACCTGTAATATTCTGGCAAGCTAGGGGCAGATGGTGGGGGGAGCTGTGAGGGGCCTGATCCTTCTTGTGGCAGCACAGCCTGCTCCCATCCCCAAAGCATGATGCCTTTGTGTGCCACACTCTGGCACAGGTGCCAGGGGTTGCTTACCTCTGCTGTACCCCTACTTTCAACCTGAAGAGAGGCAGAAGTGTTGATAGAAACAATCTTAGCCATGTATTACACAGGCTAATTAAAATGAAGAGTGACAGAGTTATGTTTTGTAAGTCAGAAGAGCCTGTATGGGTAGACAATTGTCTGATACTTTTATGTTTTCTGAGCTTGTAAGAACATGAACACATTATCATGAGGCAAGCTGGGGTGTGAATTTACAGCATGTCAGCTACTCTGTGCTAACTGCCCATGTGCGTGTTCTTAGTGTTAAATGCTAAGTAACTTACCCTCACAATGACCATGGGGTAAGAGTGTGCACATGGGCAGTTACTGTGGAGTAGCCAGTGTACTGTAAATTCACACACTTACTTCCTTTACAGCAACTTGTTCTTATAGTCTTATCCTCAAAAAACACAAATGTCAGAAAACTACAGGATTCTGTTCTTCTGGCTGAAATATATAATGGATATTTCTAATGTTAACTCCAAGTTATCAAAAGTTATCAGCTTGGATATAAAAGCTATTATCTGCTTCTCTGTGGAAACATTTTTTAACATTTTATCTTTGCATAATTATATAGAATTATACAGAGTTGCATACTTATAATACAGATACAGACACAACTTAGAAAATTTGTATTTTCACACAAGTTTAGTAAATATATAGCTATCAAAGAACCTCCTGTGTATCTCACCTGCAAACTCCATCTTATTTAACCTGCCAAGAATTGTGCAGACCATTGTGAAAGTACCTGCAGTTATTTTCCAGACCCTTCAAGTGACCCCAGTTGGGTATTCTAACATGGGGAAACCTTTATTCTGCTTCCCAAGACAGGACCGGTCTTTAATTTAAGTCATAAAGATTACAGATTCAGTCTCTGAATTTCTTAATGCAGCTGGTTGCAAATGCTTACCCAACATTAACATGACACAGAAACCTGCTGTGTGTATCTGGGAACATATTCTTGGTTATTACCTCTGGCCCACAAAACCCCATTAGCAACTGTCATTTGTATTAACACTTCACCCCTTGTATATGTTCTTCTCTGCCAACAGGCTTCAGTACTCTACCCTATGAGAGTCCAGATGACTCCTGCTTCCTGAAGAAGTCGAAATGTTGCCATCTGGGGGAGAGCTGGATGTCAAGACAGACAACCAGGGAAAAATACAGAAAAGAGAAGGAGCTGACATATTCCAAGAGCCTGAGGAAGAGAAGATCTTTCCTACAGACTGACTACACATCACAGGTCTCCTTCCCCTTGGCTCCATCTGGCTCCCTGAATAGCACTGACTGTGCAGGCTACCGTGAAAGGACATCCAACCTGTCACTCCTCTCTAGGTCTCCCACAGTGTCTTCTTTGAATGATGCCAAGGAGGAAGCTGCTGTCTTGGAAACCAAGACCTTTGTCCAGCTGAAACCTCAGAGGGAAGCCAAAAGAAAAAACCATTCGTCTGACCTAATGGAAATGGAGCCTGAGACCATGGAAACCAAATCCATAACCGACTCAGTTGTTTCTTCCATTTCAGCCATCCGTCTCCGGAGTGACCAGGGAGGGAAGGAAAGTTTGGAGTCCACCTCTCTGTCCGACTCTACAGCAAACAGCCTCAGCCCTCTTCACTCTGCACAGGTGCCTGATGAAAGGAGTTCAGGAAGTCCTTCCCTTCAGTTGGCAGACAAAAGAGACCTTCCTGAAGAACAAGCCAGAGGTACCCTGGCCAACCCTGATGGCTACTATAATCCATTTTTAAAAACAGAGGATGATGATGTAACATGTGCAGCACAGCATGACCAGCCAATATCAGAGTGCACATTGGAGCCACTGAAAGCCCAGAGCGAAGGCAATACTGGCTCTGAACATCATGGCCAAGGAGTGATCAGCTCTTGCACTGAACGTGCAGTACCTGCAGTAGCATGCTACAGAGACGAACTATCCTCAGGTGCTGCCCCATCAGAACCAGATCTTCCTTCCACCATTGAGCAGGAAGAAATGGGCAAAGAGCTTGTATCATCTGCCTTGGACCAAATGACAACTGATTTTGCCCATAAGGCAGCAAGCCAGCCTGCTGAAGTTTTACTTCAGGAGGAAGCCAGCAAGATGGTAAATGAAGAATCCTCAAGGAAAGCTGAAGATAAAAATCACTCAGGTTTCTCAAGTGCCACTGAGCTGCTTTCAAACTTTGATGGGGCCTCTGGGATAATAACTCGCTTCTCCTTGCTTTCATTGGGAACAAGGACAGACGAAACAACACCTTGTCAAGAAGCAAGCAGCCAATCAGGTGGGATGATGGACAGTCACCCCACAGCTCTGGGCCAAGACCTTCAAAGTAGCAATCAAGGTTCTGCTAACGGTGTGTGTGCAGGCATTGGCATCCCAAGCAAGGAAACACCTCTCTCCTCAAGCTGGGCAGCTTCCCAGAAAGAGTGCCCTCCATCAGAGATGGCTGGTGACCTGTGGGTGGAGGGGAGAGAACCCAGTAACAGGGTACCGCATGTGGATTGTAGCGATGAGCAACCCCAGGCCAGTCTGACACTTCTCACAGAGGAGGCTACAGAGCAAAGACAAGACTGCACCTCAGACTTAAACCCTGCAGTTACTTCTCCCTCAACCATAGACAACTGTGAGGCTTCAGAGGATCCAGAAGAAAACATTGGTTCAAATCCGTCATTCCTGTGTTTTAACCATGAGAGAGATAGACAAGCATCTCCAAGTGGCAGCACAGATACTCCTTTGGATTTTGCCAGCACTAAGGACACCCACTTGCCAAAAACCAAGGTGGACAAATGCAGCTGTCGGCTCTCTTATGTCAGCTGTTTCAGTGGGCTCCAAAGCGAAGTAGATAATGAGAGCATTGGTTCTGCACATACCATTTCCTCAGGGCCTTTAACCAGACCACCCTCTGCAGGAAGCCTGTCGTCTGTGGGCCAGAACTCTTTCAGGACCACAGAAGATGGTCACGATGCTGACATTAAACCCAAGGAAAGTGAAGATGGGGAGGGTCTGCATTCTCACACTGAAGCTCTGGCTCAGTTGAGAGAGAGCACACAAACATCACCAGCAAAGTTCTCACACTTACTGGACAACACCACAAAGCTCCAAGAGTTGGTTGGGAAGTTCTCAGGAAACAGGATGAGACATCCTCAAGAGAAATGTGCAGAACAGTTTTCTGAAAACAAGAATGCCCTTAGTTTAGCATCTCAAAAGCTGATGTCCCATTGCCAGGAAGTCTTAAAAATGCACCTGCCTTCTGAAGAGCTGCAAGGAGCATTGCAGGAGACTTTCCAAGACCTCCTCCAACTGACAGCTACGTGTTTCCAGTTCACAAACTGTGGGCTATGCAAAAAAAGGCACAGAGAGCTGACAGTCAATCTGAAGGATGTGGTCTGCAGCTATCAGGAGTTTGTTCATGCTGCACAACAGCTGGGTGAAAAAAACTGCCATGATTTAAGTGCGAAGCTGCTGGCACACCAGTGCACAGCCCTCACGGCAGCTGTGTTCTGCCTCATGCAGCACTTTAGGGCACTGCTATTAGTGTGAAGATGGCAGCTCCATTATACTGACTCTGTTACGCTCGCATATGTTTCACCTAACAAATGTTTACTCTTTAACCTATTACCACAATAAAAATCTTAAGCCTAAAAGCCAGATGAGTCAAGTCATTCAGAGGTTTGGTCTCACATTTTAATGAATGAGCCCATACAAGACTCAAATGCATTTACTGGCTTGTCAGTCTGTACAGCCCAGTCCATTAGGAGCTGCACAGACAACCCACCCACTCAGTTCTTTTTAATTCTGTATTTAAAAAATAATGATCTTGATTACAGAAGCTATTGAGTGGCTTACTAGCTTGGCCTCAGGTCTCTTGCCTAGGATCTGGTTCCCTTATATCTTGAAGTCTTTTCCTGCCTGATCTAAATCACTTTATATTTGAGTTCTTGTAAAAAGACATGAAACCTAGCAGAATTTTCAGCATACTGAGCAGATCTGGAGTTCCCAGTCCTTAATGAGGGGAGAGGGAGATGCAGGAGTAGCAGTGGAAACAAATTTCCACATGGTTTCTCTAAGGGCTTCCAGTGCTAGGAAGGTTCTCCTGAGGATGAGGGTGCAAAAGCTTTGGTCCTTGCCATCCTAACAGGCCCTCTGGATGGCATTGCAGTGCCAGCTAACTCATTCCAGGGGAATCTTGTCCCCAGGCCTTCACTATTGCTCTATGAAAGAAGTCAGTAATGAAACTTCACCTACCCATGTAAGTGAGGTATTGAAAATGGCCAGTAAAAATAAAAAAGGAGTCTTAAAGGGGGCTGTACTGCTGCTTTTACCCCAACTGATACGAAGAAAGGACTCGGTGTGACTGTTAGTGCAAAACAGATGCAAAACTATTCCTCAGTCTGTTCCAATAGCTCCAATTCCCTAACAGGGTACTGTAGATGCAACAGACTTGCCCTGAAGGGTGCCTTTCATCTCCATCTCATCAGTTGACAAATGCACCCTTGCAGCATCCCCATGAGATAAGGGATCACTTTCTCAGTCTACAGTGAAGAAGACCAGGGAACAGGAAAGGCTGACATATGCAGAAGTACCTTTATGGGCCTTGGTTTTTACAGGTCTTTGGCACCTGCAGTTGTCATCATTGTCAGCACCTATGAAAATGCCCCAATAAAGCCCACCAATTTGGATATCTATATCTGACAAAACAAGGTATAGGTTTCCCCCAGGTCACAGAGGAAGACATGGCTGTGCCCAGGACCCGGGTTGTGTCCATGCAGACATCCCTGCTCCCCTTGATGCCTCACATCAAAGTATGTAATCAGCAGACAAGTTTTGATTTTATGGAGGAGGAAGTGAAGGCTTTTATATCACCTGCTGTCACAGCTTATTAGGCTGAGGTTTATATCATATGGAAGGGGCTGTGTGACAAGCTTAAATCCACATGGTATTGCTTGGGCAATATCTTGAAGTGAACAAACAGTGCCTTCTAGAGGCCAACCTCCCAGTTCTGTATGACTGGAGAAGCAGCAGGCTAATCAGAGTAGTGGCTTCACATTTATGAACTGGCAGCTTTGCTTTTGCAATCAATGAAACTCCAGCTGAAACCCGAAGCAAAGGAGGAGCATACAGAACCAGTGGGACACCTATAGTAGGCCTGTGCAAAATGGCTAGTAGGCGCTTTGGATTCAGCCAATTTGGGGGACAGAGATTCAATTTGGCAACTCAAATCACTGTCCTGAATCAATTTGGCCAATGCTCTCTCAGCCCCGTCAATGGCTGCCCCAACTGGTGCCAGCTCCCATCTCTTTTTAAAAAAAAAAAAAAGAGCCCAGCACTTGCCAGCTGCTGCCAGGTTGTGGCAGGGGAGGCAGCAGGGCAATCCGCACTGCCCCCATTGCCCCACACTGCATGAGGGGCTGTCACGAGCCCACATCCCCTGCCTGCTCTCCTGGCCCCAGCTTCTGGCTCTTTAAAAAAAATAAATAAATAAAAGCCCCCACTCACCAGCTCCAGCCACGTGCTGTGATGGAGGCTCTGCCACAAGCTCCCAGAAGCCCCAGCGGCTGCTGCAGCATCCGGTGAGTGGGGGGTTTTTTTTTTTGGTTTTTTTTTTTTTTTTAAAGAGCTGGG